TCAGTTCAATAGGTGAGTTTGATATCCATTTGTTATTTGTTCTATGAATATGATGTTGTGCTTACTGATGTTGTGTTGGTTCTTCCCAAACCATTCTGCTTCTATTATTTCTTGTATTGTATGACATTGTCCTCGCTCTATTGTTTTAATCAGACTGTTTTTGTTGTTTTCCTTTATATAAATCTTTTGATTCTGAATAAGGCGTAAAACCTGTTCCATGAAGTTTCTCTTGTCATTGGGGATTTGGTCTGGATTCTCCAGAATGTTTTCTGTGGTCCATGCCTGATTTTGTAAATGTTGTAGTCTTCCTCTTGTAATTTTTCCACATAAGTTTCGTTTGTTGAGGTTTTGTATTAGGCGCTTGGTTTGTAATTGGATTTGTCTTTCTTTTGTGCTAAAGATTTTGTATCCAAATTCTGCATGTATTCCACTGTTGATAACTGTTATTGGAAGTTTGTTTTTGTGTTTGAAACCAGCTCTTATGGTGCTGTCCATCTTTTTGCATATATGTTCTTTGATGATCATGTCTTGTATAAGATATTCTATGGTTGGGAATAGTATGTGATTGATGATGTACCTGTATTGTTTATCTGTAATCTGACTTCTGTTGAGTGCTGTTGTGACGTTTTGTACTTTTTCTTTGGTAAGTTGCAGTTGGTATATTTTATTACCTGTAGCTGTGATCTAGACTCCAAGTATTTATATAGCTTCTTTTTTTCCTTTTGGATATATTTTCAGTTTTCCCATATGGACTGCTTTGTCTGTTGTTGGATTGATCGTTATCAGAACAGCTTTATCTGAATTTATTGTCAGGTTGGCAATCTTTGCAAAACTCTCTGTTATTTTGGTGATTTTTTCCATATTTTTCCGATTGTTGGTGATCTAGCATGTGTCATCCATGTAGGTGACTGATGCTATTCTGATGTTTCTTGTTGTCAACTTTCTTTGTTTTTCTGATGGCTTTTTGATTTTGAAATTGTATCCTAGTTTTGTTGATTCAATTTTCCGAATGAGTGGATCATAGTATATCCTTCAAAGAAATGATGAAATAGTATTACCCTGGTCAATTCCTACTGTTGGATTGAAAGGGTTGGTTAATCTGTAATACATGATAACTTGATTGTTGCGATTCTCTAAGAGGTTCATGATTATGTTTATAATTGTATTCAGGACTTTGATTCTTTCGAGTGTTTTTTTTAGTAGATCATGTTTCATTGAATCATATGCTTTGCTTATATCTTGACTAAGCAACCAGCATTCTATTTTCCCCTCTCTTGCTTCTTCCAGTATAGTGTTTATTATATTGATTGGTTCTTGTGTTCTACTGTCTGGAAGTCTTGCCCAGTTTCTTTCTAGTAAGATATTATGTTTTGTCAATACTTGTGCTAATCTGTTGTTGATGACTTTGGTAAACACCTTTTTAATTGTTTCAATGAGTGTGATGGGTCTAGTTTGATTGAGTTAATGTTGCCAGTCTATTCTTTTTGGGATTGGATATATGATGTTCTGTTGCCATCGTTGTGGTATTTCTCCTGTGAGTAGAATTGTATTGAAGAGCTTAGCAATTCTATTTAAGGCTGCTTTCTCCAGGTTTTTGAGCATCAGATAGCTGATTCCTGATTTGTCTGGTGTGGAGTCGTTGGATATATTTCTGATGACTTTCGTAATTTCTGTTATCTCAATTATTGATGTTGCTTTGTGATACCATTTTGCTTGGATTTCTTCTCTTGGTTGATATTTTTGTATCCATGTTGTCCACTCCTGCTGTTTTGTTTCTTTTCTTTCGGAGCTGTATTGTTGAAAGTGTGCCTCTACCATGTTTAGAATTTCTTGTGGATCTGTTATAGCTTGGAGTTCTGGCTCTTTGGTTATTATTTTGTTCATTATGATGCAGTCTCTTGGTTTTTTTAGAATTGAATTTATTATTTTCTGCTTGTTATCTGTGAAGTTTGAAATTCTGTTCTCTATATGTTTGTGCATTTGTGTTGATATTTTTCTGTGGTTATCTTCTTCTAATATTCGTTTCGTTATTTTGTATGTCTGTTTAATTTCTTTTATCCATGTTACGACTTTGGAACTTTTTGGATTTGTTTTCTTTCAGGGGGGAATTCGATGACCTGAGTTTCCTTGTTGCTTTCACTAATAATGTTTGTGATGTTGTCTTTGGTACCTGATGTTCTTTTTCCCAGGGTGAAGTAGCATCTGGCCCATGTATTCAGTTTTCTCATTTGGCTATTTGTGTATGTTTGTTGTAAGTATTGTATGTAACTTGTGATCTTTTGTTATTACGTTTTGTTTTTTTGATATGTTGATGTGCAGCTTTGTGCATGGCTTCCTATGTTAGATTCCATATTCAATTTGATGAGTATTCTTCAATCTTGTATTTGTTGTCTTGTTGTTCGATCGTTTTTTCTATTTGTTGTTTGTATTCCTCCCATTGTTTCGGTTTTGTGTTCTTAATATTGAATATAATGTTTGGTTTATTTGTTTGTTTTTGAATTTTTGGAGTTGTGATTCCGGTGATCTCGATGGTACATGTAGCTATATCATGGTCACTGTTCGTGAGCATATTTGATGATTCTATATCAGCCTCGATTAAATTCCAACTTTCTTTTGGAGACATCCATATGTAATCAATTCTTGTGCATGTTATATGCATATTTGACCATGTGAATCGTGATCTGTCTGGCCACATCTCCCTGAAGGTATCCATGTGGTTGAATTGTATGAGAGTTTGTAATGTGTTTGATGTTGGTTTCGAACTACTGCCTGGTGATCTTTTGTCTTTTTTTGGATTATGGAAAGCATTAAAGTCTTCTGCTGTTATGATGTACCAGTTTTTGTTGTGTCTGGTCCAAATCTTGTCTTGTACCCACTTGCCAACTTTGAAGTGCTCTGGGTTATTCTTTCCTGGCATATAGATACCAATGATACTGATGTGTTTGTTTCCTTTGAAATTTAAGTTGATACAAATACTTCTGTCTGGATATATTGAGATTTTGGTTATATGGTTAGTGATATTTTCTTTGATCATCATCATTATACCTCCTCCTTTGCGTTCATTGCACCATGTGGTGTGGTATCTGTATATTTTTCAGTATTTAGATTCTTCTGTAGTGATTTGTGTTTCTGTGATTATTCCGATATCGATGTTTTCTTCTATGCAATATGCTAGCCAGATTGCTCTTTTGGTTATGTCGTTGAAACCTCTTACATTGTATATTGCAATTTTCCATGTCTTCCATGATCTTTTTGTTGTTGGGGGAATTGGGGTTGTGTTATTTTGGGTTTTGGAGTACGATATAAGTTGTATGTCTGAATGTGATTTGTTTGATATTTGTTGTTGTGAGTCTTCGATAATTGCTTGGATTTGTTGTGAGTTTCTGTTGTTGTGATGTCATTGCTGCTATTGTTATATAAATCTGGTTGATGTGTGTTCACGTTTGTTTGTGTGTCTTCTTCCGGGTAATTATTGAGTGAATTATAGAAATTGAATAAATTATCAGTAATGTCTTATGCATTACTAGTTATACTTTGGTTGTTTCCCATTAATATTAATTGGTTATATTGTTTGTGTTCTCAGGGATCAGGTTATGGATGGTATTCATCAGATTGTTCATTGTTTGATTCGTGTTCTGGATGGTTATGTGAATTTGTCTCTGCTGTGCTTGTAGATCTTGAATTTTGTTACTGTTTGTGAGTTTGTTCTCTTGATTGATTTCTGGAGGGGTGTTTTTTTCCTGGATATCTGGAATGGATTCAGTTTCCTCCATGGCTCCCAAACCATCCTCTTTATAATATTCTAAGTTTGTGATTTTTTTGTCCATTTCGATCATTTGTTGTTTAACTTCTGCCATGTCCTGTTGTAACTGTTTAAGAATGTTAACTATTTCTTGGAGGTTGGCTGGTGTTACTTCATTGTTTTGTGTGTTCTGTGGTGTTTTTGTTGCTGCAGCATAGGAGCCAGGTTTTGTTTTTCTATCTTGTTGTTGCATTGGTATGTGCCTTCTGATATCACTTGTTTTTACTGGTCGATACTTTTTATATAGTTTCTTGAATTTATTTGCTTGTTCTTGGTTATATGCCTGCCAATGATTTTTTCTTTCCTTAATTGGACATGTGGCTGCAAGGTGTGTATCATTGTCACAAATTGCACATAGTTTGGTGTCTATCTGGGTTTATTTTAGCGGTGTCTTTCCAATTATATATGTTTCACCTGTTGCTTTTTGAAGATCTTCTTCTGTTTTGAAACTGATGACTACAAATCTTTTCCTTTAGTATATACCTCTGCGTGGAATATAACATGTTTTTGCTTTGGTTAATTGCAGTATAATGCAAAGGTCAAATGCTGTTGTGTTGGAAGGTAGATTTGTCAGCTTTGCTACTATTTGTCCTCTTTGTTTCATTTGCGTGAGGTTCTATTATGCATCAAAGACCTGAACCATGTCTGCTTTGAATGAAACACTCCACATGTCTGTTATCCGATCCTTGCTAGTTTTGTCTGCGAAGGTGATTGTTGCTGTTTGCCACATTTGTTGTGTGCTCATGGCTATCCCTGTGATTTGTCCATATTTGGTGAATGTTTATTGAACTTCTATATATTTGGCATCGAGGGGATGTCCCATACTCTGATACTATTTTCCTTTTTGGTACTTGGATCAGTTATTGGCATGTGTTGTAGATACTTGTTCTCCAAATTTGGAAGTTTGATAGTGCATGCGTGTTCTGCTATCTGATGATCACCAAAAATGGCTATGATCTGCTCTTGGTCGTTTTTCCCTTCACTGCGGATAGCGAGAAGACCCTTTGGACATTCTAGCACTTTGGTGAGATATTGAATCTTTTGGCTAGTGTTCTTTCCTGGGATTATACTGGTATTTATACCAACTTTGCCTCTTTGCCTACCATATCTGCTGTTTCTATTGAAGAGGGAATATGGTTTTGATTTACTCCATTGTTGTGTCGATTCTTTACCTTTGCCCTTGTTGTGTATTGTCCACTCTTCACTTTCAGTGCTGGTCTTCCAGATATTGTTTTCTGCTTCTGTTTCTTCTATCTCTGCATTAGAATCGTCTATTCTAACATATTGACTGAATTCTTTTTGTGTTTATTTTGTCTGTGCGGATGTTTCTGCCACTGTTCTTTTCACTTCGTCACTCTACAGTTCTTTGGTTTTTGGTTCATAGGTTGTTTCCTTGGGTTCCATAAATTCAGTTTTAATAAACTTGTTTATAATGTTACTCACAATTGATTTTTTATATCCGACATGAGCTACAATAGTGCGATATGAATCTTTCCTTTTAAAATCATAAATTATAGCCGATTTTTGTTTGAAAGTTAGTTCTTTTCTTACACCCATATTAGTGATTACGCGAAATTTAGAGAGAAAAATATAAGATAAATAAAAAAATTTTTTTATCAGCAATATTAAATAAATATGTAATTACTTTTTTATAAAAAAATCAATTATACTTATTAAATAAATATTGTACAATTAAAAAAATAAAAGTGTCCATAAACTTTTGACAATCCACTGTATTTTTTCCTGCATATATATCAAGCTCTTAATTAATAAAAGGAAATCCAAATTCAAAAATCTTATTCTAAATCTCAATCCCAAAGACACCAAAGTTATCGATTTCATTAGTATACTAAAGTTAATATTAAATACTTTAGTAAATTTAGCTATTTGTAAATTTAATTCTTCATTTAACTTGCTTGAAAAAAAAGAAGATATTTTCAACTATATATTCAAAATTCTCTACAAGGCTTGAAAATTGCAGTTTATCACAGCAATAACTTTATCAGTATCTAATATAAAATAAAAAAAATCACCTAGCTCTAAACCATCTAATTCAAATATAAATGACAATACTATATTCAACAAGATTTTAAATTTATTATATATTGTGAGGGTCTTTCAAAGTTCTCTCGAATATTTAAGTTTTTAAGGCTGAGGCATAATAATTTGGTCCGAGTATCCTGCTCTTTCTCTACAAAATAAACTCAAATTCAT